ATATTAATAGTTGTAGCACTTCAGCTACCCGCTAACAACATGCTTTCTAATTGCATTGGGTTGATTGGAAGAGATCTCTGTCAGAGATAAGCCCACCCTTGCTCACAATATTTATAAATGCGTTAACAATGTAATTTACAAGTGCAACAAAGAATATATATAAAAACTAAACTACTTAATTGGTTTTTAATAAAATTGCTATGAAACTAATCTGAAAATATATCCTTTCGAATAATAAAGAAAATCCAAAACAGTTTATAACTGACGGAGATCCGAGGTAACAAACATAAAATACAATCGAATCTAGAATCTCCTTCTTTTGGAAGTCGGTTAAAAAGTATTGTTAGATACAACAACGAGAGAAATGCGAATACAAAAAGCAATAAGCGGATTCTGTACTAGTGAAAAGCATTTTTCAATTAAGAAAACAGTTTTTTCCATTCTCTCTATTGTGAAAATATTAAAGAAGCAGTCTTAATATTAGATTGAAAAGTGCCTTCGGACAGAATTACGACTGCTATTCCCTGGTCACATAGAGAAAAAAAATAAAAAAAGTCACAGCACGATTCCCAATAATACTGTTAGGAACAAGTACATACAGAAGAGTTATTGGAAAACTGTTCCGCGTAAAATGATTGAGGAATTGCGGGTTTCGAATTTTATCAGAACGAGGAAGAATTATTTCCAATGTAATATCATCGATGGTGAGGCGTAACCATAAAATGTTTTTCATTTTTTATACAACTGTAATCAGAAAAATCTATATAAATAAAAACCAATTGCTGAATGTTTGTAAACCGATCACTTCAGAACGACTGCACCTATTTGGGTAATTCTTTTGCTGTTGTATTTGTAATTGTTAGGACAAGATTTGTAAGAAAGAAAATATTCGAAATATTCAATGTAAAAAAGAAAATATTTAGGTAAAAAATTTTCGATTTAAAAAAATGAGTGAGAAAGGGAATTTAATCTTATTTTCTTTATTAGTACAGCTGTGTGCAGTTGGGGCAGGCAGGTATCATAAACATCAGGTGCCTGCTCCATATTTTGAGTCGGGGCCCGCAAATCGGTGCGAGCCAATGCCGTTGGGGCTCGGTGGACTTCAAAGGGAACCCGGGTCCCCGACACTTTGGCGCGGCGAGGGATGCCGTGGTGGTTTTAGCCGGTAGGAGTCCGGTAGTACCCATACGCCTCCCCCGAGGCATATGGGTCTGCATGATGCATTTTCCTACGATAAAAAAAAGCAGGTATCATAAACAATATAGTTTTCGTATGTTTAAGTTGGAAATTAAAAATCTTGCGCATACTTTTTTATAGTTATAAAGTTTTCTCAAGTCTAGTTGAATATTCCCCATTGAAAATTAAATGAATAATTTATGATTTTGTTCCATAAATAGAGACTAATTACAATCGTGCTAAATGTAGTTATTTTGATTTAAAAACTAAACTACAAAATAAAATTTTATTAAATTACTATAAGCTAATTCAAAAAGTTTGCTTTCAGTCAAAAAAAAAAATTTTCTAAATCGATTCATATCTTTTGGAGTTACAAGGCAATAACCAAAAAATACAGCCGAATTGAAAAGCTATTCTTTTTTTAAGTCGATTGAAAATGTATATTACGACATGAAGATCAATTAAGATTTAAAAATAAAATATTATTTTGATATAACTTATAAAATGGTACTTAAAAAAGCGATAGATTTATGATTGAATACTAATGATAAATACAAATTCCTACCTAATGATTTATTACTAATTAAAAATATAATTAGAAAATAAAAACTTTACGACTTCTTGTCATTAAAAATATTTAAAAAAAAAAAGTTATTTTTTCTCGATCATTTTAGCAGTTTACTGATTAAAATAATTAACTCTTTCAGTTACGATTATTAAAATCTCCTAAAACACAATTTTTCTTGCATAGTTATAGATGAACCCGGCAAGTTGGATTATAGAAGGTGTCTAGGTACGGTCTCTAATTTGTTACACAGTGTATAATCGAATAATTTATTCCGCGCCTAATTGAATATTAATCTATACAAGATCTGAATTCATTAGAATAACAATCTAAAGCCTTACATTCACGGGATCGATCATCTCTTCGATCAATCTAAACGATAATCTCAACGATTCACTTGTCTATGGTTTATAACGTAGTAATACACTATGGTATAGTTGCATGACTTATAGTTTACATGATTATATACTAGTGATTCTCGCCGAATTCACACGGGTTAAATATATACAGATAGAAATATATATTAGCTTTAATAGGCAAATTTTTAGTACTTTTTGTAATACAATTATAATTTTCTAGGAATCTTTATTTTTTTTCTAAAAAGAATTATAAATATAGTAACATATACTATTTGATAATATAATTTTCTATAGATTAAAGAATGTTTTAAAATCAATTATGTAGTTTCGAATTTATCCATTACAAACAATCAAATCTTTCCTCTTTTTAATATTAGTATAAATAAAATGTAAACTTTACCATACGAAAATCTAAAAATTAAGTCTAGCTTTTACCCCTTATGACGATAAATGACGATTTTCAAGAGAAATGGACATGAACGGGAGGTTAATAATAAGTATAAAATAATTGCAGAAAGTTGCTCATTTATGCTAACATAGCTTAATTTAGCAATTTTAGTACGGCAAAATTCTAGTGCGGCTAAAAGTAGCTAATCTAGCAAAATTGTGTCTAACATGGCAACACCACTCGTGATCCTTACTGCCATACGACCTTAAGTTTCAATGGACAAATAATTTCGAAATCTTATGTTGCGATCTACGATCGGTCGTTTGATTAAGGAATTGTATGTAATATCCTTATATATGAGTATATTCTATTTCAATAGAACATAATAGAATTTTTTATTTATTTTATTTATTTATTTATTAAATACAAGAAATTTACAACAGCGAGTACATTGGACCCCGCACTAGGCGAACCTGTATCGCGGGAGTCCATAAGAGATTAACAAGACATGGTGATTTACAAATATAAATAATAATGGAAATGTAACTTACTTTTGTTTATACATACTTACTTACATACATATACATACTTACTATATATAATACATACTTGTTTATTAGACACTCTCTAAATGAATTTATTAACATATATATTTATTAAATTTATAAACTTTAATGCACAGTGAAATTCTGTGTACATTTGACGACCTTAACATCGGACGATGTTCTCTACCAGTCAACCATTGGGCAAGAAAAACATTCATTAAATACATGGCCATAGCTAGGGGAGCGGAGGACATTGAGGGGCAATGCCCCACCTTAAAATGCCCAATGCCCTATCTTGAAATGAAAGGCCTAAGAAAATCAGACAGATTCGCTTTTTCGAAGTAATTTAATTATGGCTTCTGCCCTACCAAAAGTTCTTTGTCCTACCTTAAACTTGCGTCTAGCTACGGTCCTGATTAAATAGTTTGTCAAACTGTCTTACGATCAAGTCAATTAATCATTTGTTTACGTTTCATTAAATTATATTGAAACAGATTATACGCTGGGTCTGTTGTTAAATAAGAACTACGAATCGTTACGGTAGAGTACTAACAGTACCATAATACTCTTACTAGACTAGACTCTTGTATAAATAAGCCAATGACCTGAGTGCCTGACCCAGTGCCCAACCTAAGTCTGTAAATCGTGATAGTGAAATAGTTTTCCTATACAGACAATTCTAGCTAAAAATATCGCAATGCCTCTCTATTGTAGCTTTTATCCGACCAAATATAAGATTGTGTTCCTTCTTTTTTATGAAGTCGATTAACATGATAAAAAACTTGTATGCTTATTTTGTATGTCTTTGTACATACATAAAAAGAGGAAATTAAACGATAGAATAATGCATGTAAGAATTGATTGGGAACGAATAGGTATATATATATAATTTTTTGCTACAAAAAAACGACTTTATTTATAACTTATTTTGATTTGAAAATTAAAGTACTAAACCGATTTTCATAAAATTTCTATAATACTAATCCATAATATGTACATTTAAATTTTTTTTTTCTAATCGGTGTATAACTGATGGAGATATGAGACAATAAAACATAAAGAAAAACAATCGAATTGAGAACCTGCTTCTTTTTGAAATAGGTTGAAAATTTAGTAATGTCTAACAAATTAATCCGAGTGACGTGGGTAGGTTCATCTCTTGTTACGTTGAATTAGTTTGCTCGTTGAAATGTGGGCAATTTATCAAAGGGAGACTTTATACAAAATTCGTCGGCAGCAATGTTTGTATGTGTGTGTGGTGTGTTTCGGTTTGAAGGCTATAGTAGTGAAATAATAAGGCATGGAAGTATAACACCTTAGTTTTTGAAAATAACAATACATGAAGTGTATTACAAATGTCACACTCTCTGATATGGTGCCGTTCATGTCTATAGGCAAAGGTTAAAACTTTCTGTCAAGGTGGAGTCACTTTGTTTGCCATTCTAAATTGCATAAAATATGTTGAATGTTACGTTCACCATAATAATCGACAAACACCTTTGATTAATATGCTTGTAATATTTCACATTTCACAAGTGAAATTTCATATGCTGTGTCAAATCACACGTTATTCGAGCTAAGTCACTTCACTAATCACTTTAAATGAAATCCCACATAATTGCTGTGTTCAGATTTTTTCGTGAGTCGAACAGAATGAGGTGAAATCGCATCAGTTAACCAACAGAACTGTACAGAACGAGTGAATATAGACTTTATCACACTGCGTTAAAGTGTCTATTCCTTCGCTCTTATTATAAAAGTCACTAGCTTTCACTTGCGACTTTATCCACGTGATCGAAATATGTTCACTGAACAAAATAAATAGTAGCGTATGTCTTTCTGCATTCCATATAGTGCTTATATAGCAAATTTAAGAGTAATTGGTCAAGCCAACAAAGAGCCAAGAGGTAACAAACAAACAAACTTACTTTTATATTTATAATGTTATTAAATATTTGAGTTGGAACTATATTAAATTTAGTTCTTGACGATCCGTAATATAAGACTCGTTGAAAGATCACTTGAAAATTTTAATAACGATAAGTTTAGAGAGTGGTACTTCAAAGACGATCCCATTGTCCTCGGTAAAAGGATGTCTTGGTATTAGAATATTTTAAGGGTATCTAAATAAAAAACGAACTTGGCACGTTCAATTCAAAATTGTTATTTATTCATAATAGTCCAGAAAACACGTCGAGAAACCAAAAATAGATTTTAAATAACAATATTAAATGTTTCAGCACATTAACAGTTTATAATTTATATTATAAATTCTTCTGTAATTTAGATGATTCATTGATTTACAGTGATTTTTCTAGAAAGAGTAGTGAGTGAGACAACAGGACAATGTGGGGACAATCCATTCCTTAGCGTGACGATGGGACAACTATAAATGCGAAAAAAAAAACTTAAGAAAAAAACGATATTTTGAAAGTATTAGCCTGACTTCTTCAAATGTATTTGTAGTAGTACTAATTAATAAAAAACAAAATATAAAATAGTCATGGCGTATTTAAGATTATTTTCCCGGTAAGGGGCGGACTGACCCCTTAAAAAGGAACATAAGTTTTCGCAGACAGATCTATGTGAAGCTTTGTTCGCATCCTAAGTTGAGCACTAGACGATTCTAGGTTGGGATCGGTCCACTCCACTACTCTCACCCCTCTAAATACAAACATAAAAATAGTTTTAAATTGAAATTCCGTGTATTACAGCAAGTGTTGATATAAGGATGCTTCCTTTATGTATAAATTAGACACTGTCCTGACACCTCACTTCTTATATTTTTTTTAATAAAATGACAAGCATTAAGTAAAATGATTTTACGTATTTTTTATATTATATTAATGATTTAAATAAAATAATAAAAAAAATTAAAAATGAATTATTTAATGCGTAAGTCAGGTATTAAATAGAAAAGTAAGAAGTAATTAACTGTTCTTCAAAGTTCAATAAATCTGAGAAGCTCGATATTTACTATATAGAAGAATGAACAATTTACAATATTTTCTCAAAAGCTTTAAGCTCCAATCGAATATATCTAATAACGTCACATCTTCAAGCTTTTAAGAAATAAATTAAAAATATCATAAAATAATAATTCGAATTATAGTTTTTTCAACAAATTCAATGCCTACTTATTTAATCAATAAAATATTTGGAATTTTAAAATACTTTAGTGTCTGAAATTAAGTGATATTGAATGAACATTTTCTTTTTTTATATTATCATGAAAAATTTTGTTATAATAATATTCTAAAATTTTTGAATTAAATGAATTTATTTATACTATCAACTCACAGCATAAAATTTTTAACTTATACAAGGTAATCTAAAAATATGAATATAAATGTTAAACGACACTTCTTGCACAGAAAATGAGGTCATAATGAAAAGTGCAACTAGTTTTTTTTTTTTTGTATTTTGACATAAAATTCATATTCAAAGTTACTTTTGTAAATAGCTACTAGTATATTTTCTTAATAACACGGTGAGTGTAACGATAATCTCAAGCCCATTGAACCCCTTAGTCTAATCTCTCACTATAATACAGGTTAAGGTTCGATCTTAGACCGTTTTCAGTCTGGTAACTCGAAACACTTTGAGTTTGATCATGACTGAAACAGAACTGAACTGTATAGATAGTATGAATGCATGCATTGTTTCTTACGTAATAATTTTTTACAAAACCAAAATTGGACTGTGATTGAACTGTGACCGGAATTATAGTGTGAATATAGCTTTAATCTTGCCCCGTGTTTCCGTTACACCCGCAAAAAATTGAGATGCCTACTCGCCCCCATTGGAAATGGTTCAAATGGTAACGTATTATTTAATATTATCCCGATGTTCACTGTGTAATAAAGAGGCATAAAACCACTATAGTAATTATTTAAGTAACACAAAAATGTTTAATATTTTATTAATTTCAGAAGTAAATGTATATTCTGAGCAAATTTTGATAATGGGGTCAATAAGCTTATCAAATTATTTGCGACGTGAAAATGGGCACATATTAAGGAGAAAGATTTTGAGGGTCCAGTAGGCCCGAGACCGTAACGACGAATTAACTGGACTAATAAATTTATATGACAGATAATTAACTACATTACTTATAGATACATCACTTATGACTCATTATATTTCACATTTTATTTACATTTATTATTATTGTACTCACTTGGTATACTTTTTATGTATTTTTTTTTTTTACTTTCCTCAATAATGATGAATTCAACATTGAAAAAAATATTGGGCAGTTATTAGCTTAAGGCAGGTACTCACAATGACAGTTGTTACCTTTTAATGTAACATAATACACTGGTGTTAAATTTACACATAAATATACAATTGACAAACCTAATTTTAAAATGTTATATACAATCTACTATATTTTAGGCGACTTGTGAAATCACAATTAAATAAAATTAGTAAATATTGTTATATACTCAATTAATATTTGAAATATTAATATTAAAAATAACACAACAACATTAATACACGACTAATTTATTATAATTTAATCTTGTAACTAAATAATTTACCAAGACAGTCTAAAGTATTAGTAAGGTGGTAAGTAATTTAGTGTTATCATTTGGATAACCAAATTTTTGTTGAGTAGTTCGTTTCGGTACTAAATTACTTGTCACTTAATTGAAGTACAAAAGAAGTTCGAATATCAAGAATCAAGTAAAGTTAATTCGGAGGAATTTACTTAGTAACAATTAGTCGTTAATAATTGGTTTAGTCAACAAATAAAACGTATTAAAATTTTAAAACAAAAACTCGTAGATACGATAAGTAACTTTGTTGAAGTCGAGTCGTTAGCCAATTGATTATTCTACAAAATTAAGTTTATTAAGTAATAATTTATTTATAATATAATAATTAAATCTTAGAATAGCTCAACGTAATTTACTAGAAAGTTCTATAAATATATACTTTAAAATACAGAGGTGACGCTACTTCTAAGAATGAACTAAAACATTCAAACTATCATTTAAAAATAAAACTAGTTCTTGGTAATATCAATAAGTAATTTTTACATTAGGCAAGAATATTTTATAGACAAAATCGATAGAACAAAAATATACATTACCCACTTTAGTATTCATCGTAACAAGATAGGGTTGTCAACTCAAAATTTCAAATACTCTCAGTATATTAGCAAAGTACAAAAAAGTCTCAGAATACTAGCAAAGTGTCCCTTAATAATGGCCATGTGATCCTAGCATAGAACCACCCCTTTCTTTCCTGTAGCTATCGTAATAGGCAACGGCGGTTGTCAAGCCATTTGCCAAGTATAGCAATTACTAGGAAAACTCCCGTTATGGGGAAGGCTTATAGTCAATAGTGGACAGTTAACGTTTGAAATAACGAATGATAATAATAATAATAAAATAATAAATAGTAGATGGTTATAGTAAGTACACAATAATAACTCAATCAATGGAACTCAATTAATAGCAATTACATTTTTTATTAAAGTATTTATCTTCAATTACATTATACAAGAAAATAAAAAAAATATATTATTATAATCAATACCTATTACACATTGAAACAGGACGATATCCAAGTTCTATAAAAAAAAAGCTAGAAACCAGGCAACCCTAGTAAACTACCTGCCTCGAGTTAAAACTGCCTCTGTTTTTATCTGAGTGATTATTTATGCACAGTAAACGGTTAACTTTAAATGGAACGTTATCCAAACTCCAGGTAGTTTAGCATTAGAATAATTCTTAATGAAACCATTACAGCTAATAAATGTACGAGTGAATATATTTGTTGATTAGTTGCTGATGAGTTGTTTCCATGTTGCATAGCAGCTGGTGTCTCACCTGGAACAAAAAAAAAAATGAATCACTTTGTTACAGTGTTGAACTTATTAAACCCCCTTGTATATCCTATTGATCCGCAAAAATTTTTCAAGGTGCCTACTCGCCCCTTTTAAAGAACCGTTTCAATGTAAATTTTTATTATTATATTTTTGTAATCTATTACATTCGTTTTAATAATTATTAAAATTACACTTTTCTCTAATAAACTTCGTATTATTATTATTATTTAATAAAAAAAAATCTATTTTTTTTATAAATAAAAATAATAAAGTGCACCTGCCTATACTAACGCTATAAAATGGAAAGATAATAATGAACGGTGAAATGATGAGAACGAAATCAGGTCAGTTGATATATCGTTGTTAATTCATTAGGAATTAACTTCAACGGTTTCCACGAATAACTGCATGGAAGTCGATCTGACAGAGTAATCACCTATCCTGTTCATAAAATACGTTGTCTTCTGTCTCTTTTTATTTTTTTCAGAATATCAAATAAAATATGGAGAGACAACACAAATTGTATATTTCCTAAGTCTGTGTTCATAATGTAGTGTCTATGGCATTAGTAAAATATATATTTTTTTTACTATAAATTAAATAATAACTGCGTTATCCAATTATCACTGAAAATAAAAAATATAACAGTCTACAACTCGCGGTCAGCGGGCTAAGGCGCGCATTCAGAGTCGCTCTCGCGTAAAAGCTGCAAATGATTAAGGGTGCTGAATTGATCTCGAAACTAATCGAGCTTTCTCTATTTAATTACACGTAAGATAAACCGGCAATTATTATATTGAAATATAATGTATGCTTAAGAAACTTTTAACAATAAAATAAAAAATAAGTACTTATTCCTTTTACACTAGGAAATGTATACTCTACGAGGTACGGTAGTAATCGTCTTATGTAAAAAAAAGTAGAATAAGGTCACTAATAAATAAAGTAACCTAAAACTCCTAATAATATAAAAAAAAATTTGCTTTCTTTCATGTAAAAATGATAAAAAAGGAAGTAACTCAAAATATAAAACAAAAGGTGTTTGCGCGGTATTATCATGGAGAGCTCAAAAAAAAAGTAAACAGTAAAATACAAACATCGGGATATAAAACGCAAATGAATACGAAATTGTATCTAAAAATGGAATCAAAACAATTGTTTAACCCGCTTTTATATTTAGTGACGTGTTTGCGGTCGACATTTTTATTTATTAATTTTTTTTGATTAGATTTTAACGTCATAGAAAATATATCGATACTGCGTTAAGGTTGCCTTATAAAGATTGCTCTCAGCAATAAGACCGCCTTACTGTACTTATACAATTGTATCGTTGTGTTTGTAAATTGCCTTGCTTATTTCCTATATTGTATAATGCAAATAAAGTATACTCATTCATTCATAAGAGTAACAAAAATTATGTTTTGACATATTACTGGCCATATCCCGCAGCTTTGATCGTGTAAATCAGTCGATCAATCAAAATCAATTTTATTCATATACGTCTGTTATAGACTATTATGAAATGTCATTTTATAATTATCATAATTATAGTATACAAAGTAAACTCCCCTTATGGGGAAGGCTTATATCCAGCAGTGGACAGTTAATGGCTGAAATAATAATAATACAAAGTATTATATATGATAATTTAAGATAAAATCTCATAGGTAGATTATATCTTCAAATTTCATTAAATTCCATTTAGTAGTTTTCACGTGAAAAAATAATAAACATCCATTCATCTTTATAAACTTTCGCAGAAGAAAGAGACTTACAAATAGTCGCTGCATAAGTGTGAACTTGCCTTTACATACAAATCGTGTACCACTGTTTTACTTGTATTTATGCTGCTGAGCAGCTGTACTCGCATAGCTGTGTTTCGGTTGAAAGAGTATGAAATTAAAATTACGTATGTATATAATTTAAATTAACATTTCTGGTGTTTTCAGATCTATAGGTCGTGTATATAAACACAGCAAGACCTATTAAAGTAATCGGCGTTATTCCATAAGAAAAGCTGATCACGTAAAAAGGTAAAGTCTTCATCAGGAATGAGCATTCTTTAATAGTAATGATGTTGTTCATGTGTAGACGAGGGCTATTTTCCATTAGTTATGGTGGCTTATTCGCCATTACCATTCATATAAATGAAGTCGGAAATTTGTAGTGCTCACGTTTTTCCTACCGAATGCGAGCAATAGCTCAACTAACATAAGTCACGAAACTGTTACAGAAATACTAGGAAATCATAAACATATAACAGTATTACGTTAAGTACAACAAATACGACACTAATCTGAAAATATTACGGCCTAACTACGCTACGGTCGCTATTAATCTCGAAAATAACCTAGGTCACTTAATTCAAACAATTTAATTACCTAAATCGAGGAACAAATTACTTTGTAAATAAAATTTACTCGTCCCTCGGGCGTTATAATAAAATGTACCTTGTTTCTTTGCTGAATTATTGTAATAACAAAAACAAAGGCGAGACTAAATTAGTTTAGGACCATCACTCATTTGTTGGAACGGGAAAGAGACTTAATTCTATGAAGCATGAACAGTAAATGTTTTGTTAAGCGATTTTTAAAAGGCAGTGCTATTTAGTCTTTTTTTTTTTTTGTTACTAATAAATTTACTAATTTATTTTCTTTTACTTTAATTCGAATATAAACTTAGATTACATATATAGATAAAGAATCGAGTACTAAAAACATGACTACATTTTTTTACTACATTCCAATCAAAATGTACTTTTTTAAATACCACCAGCTTAAATTTTTTTCAGATTAAGTCGTATTTTAAATTTGAATTTGAAACTGTTTTTTTTTCCCCCTATAATAATATAAATATTAAAATGGCAGTTATTTTCAATAGTTTAGAAACGAAAACATAATTTACGTCTATTATAAGTCAAAGCATTCTGTAAAAATAAGCATCATTACGAATAATTAGGCATTGTTAATCTTGTTCTTTTAAATATACCTCTACGTATGAACGTTGTTTCGTTTTTATTTTTCAATTTAATCATACGATATAATTTCCTCCATATACTGAGTAATAAATGTACATTATGGTAATCCTATTCATGTACACATAGATAAAAAAAGGTGACCTGTTTTTGGCGAAACATCTGTATCGAGACACTCTACCTAGATCATAATCTAAGGATATAATGCATATACAACTTTTCTTAATAAAAGTATGTAAATAATAATAAAACTCGCATCAAAATCCATTGTGAAAAGAAGTAAACTGAGAAACAAATATGAGGACAACGACTTAATTGTATAATATTAAAAGATTATGTCGTAATATGGACCAAATAAACGATTGTTACATTATTTATTATACTATACAAACTATTGATTAGCAATCGATACTCAGTGATTATTAACTAACGTGAAGCAGTCTGCAAATCACTCTGTCCTTCAGAATATGCCAAGGATGTCACAGTATAAATTCACTGTAGAATCAACGTTATATTACCATCCATCGCTACAAGGAGCAGCTGATGTAACTTTTTATTAGGAACTCGATATACTTATAAAAATATATAATCGAATTGAAAAACTTCTTCTTATTGAAGTCGGTTGAAAATAATTGGTTTCGATATGATTTATGTATTTTTTATGGACCACATTACAAAAATGTCTAGTATAAAAGGCGGATTTAATGCTAACTATATAGCATTCTCTCCAAGTCAACCTATGGCAAAACAGGAATGTAAATATTCGGTTAAAAATTGAAAATTCATGTAGATAAACAGTTACAATCGTATCCATATTATCACATCTACAAAACCTACTTGTCAATATAAAAAAAAAATACAACCGAATTGAAAACATAATGCGATTGTTTTTTTATGTTTTTTTACCTCATAACTCCGTCAGTTGTAAACCGATTTGGAAAATTATTTTTTTTTATCTAAAAGGATACACTTAGAAATTGGTTTCATAGACATTTTATCAATATCGGTTCAGTAGTTTTTAGTTTTTAAATTGATATAACTAGTTTTGCCGCAATTGAAATCGCTTTTTTTTTTGTACAACACAATTTATATTATAATACATTATTATTATAGCATATGTTTACTCCCGCTGATCCACATAATGTGCATTGCGTATAAAATATGTATTGTGTATATGTGAAATGAATATTATAATTTCTTGTAAACTTCGGAAAAACCATTCGTAGTACTCGCCATCCAAATATGAATTTTTTCTACAACACTGGTCCGATTTACTTGGAAAGTTAGTGATAATAGCTATTATACGATACTCTATTATAGTATTTATTTATTTTTTACTCAAGAAAAATCAACAGCTAGGAAACTTCATAATAAGAAAAAAAAAACATTAAAGCCAAAAAGCCAATTATAGGTTTTTACAAATAAAAACAAGATTTAACTAAATGACATCGCTAATACTTACAATTAACTGAATTAAACTAAGAGTAACAATATTATAGTAGTACAAACATTAAGGTAGACAGTTATACAAAAAAGTTGAAATCACACGTTCCAAGATTAATGTATGTATTATATTTATACTAGGTTTTATATATATATATATATATTTCCATCTCTTCTTTTACATTGGGGGTCGTAAGGTACGACTAAGGGAACTTAATACTCTTAATAAGGGATGGGCAGCAGCGTCACATTTAAAACATCACCAATGCCTGATTGCGATTGTTAATCCACCTACCAAGCGTGGCAACTACTGTAAAAATTCATCTTTTTGTGAAGGCCTATGTTCAGCAGTAAACAGTAGGCGGCTGATGTGATGACGATGATGACATTCAAATTAACTCATAAATGATTTTTAATATTAGCTCTAGCTAAGTATCATTATTTATATTAGTCACATAATTCCAATATATGTTAAACATATATTGAAATTATTTCAGGACTGTCAAAAAAAACTTAGTCTAATATTTTCAGGGTTCATTTATTAATTTATTGATTAGTACATAATATGTGTGCATGCCGGTCTT